GCCACTCTTCTCCCAAATAACAAGCGACAGGACAAGAGGAAAGAGCCTCAAATTGTGCTAGGAGAGGTTTAGATTTGGTATTAGGAAAAATTTTTTCACTGAAAGGGTTATCAGGCATTGGAACAGGCTGCCCAGGGAAGCGGCGGAGTCATCAAGAAGGCTTGTAGATGTGATGCTTAGGGACATGGTTTAGTGGTGGACTTGGCCATGTTGGGTTTTTGGTTGGACTTGATGATCTTAAAGTTCCAACCAAAATGATTCTATGATTCTATAATGTGTAGAGGGGATGCAGGGCCACTGGTGAGATCCGTAGGCTTGTGGATGCAGCATTCCTTAGGGACTTTGTGGCACCTGTGGGGAAACCCTGAGGAGAATTTGAGAGAAAGGGTTGTGTGGTCACAGCTGGGGGCAGTGCCTGTTTGGGTGTCAGCCTCCCGCTGAAAGCAGGAACAATAGACTCAGGAAGGAAAGAGGTAGTGGAGTCAAAGGAGCAGAGTACAGGACCTGGAAGAAGACTTCCATCTGGTAGGACAGAAAGGAAACACAGGGAGGAAGGGACCACAGGATCTGTAAATAGCTGGACCCAGTGAAAGCGCCGAGACTGACGAGGAGAGATTGTGGGCCCCCACACCAAGGGGGAAGAAGTGCCGACCACCTCTACGCTGCTTGTGGAGAAAGGAAGTCTCAAGCTGCAGCTGTAACTGCCTTAAGCTGAGAGACTGACGTCTGCAAGCAGGTTACTGGATGACCAAAAACAGGAGGACGTGGCCAGTAAAATGGATGTGCTGAAAGCAGCTCAGGTGATTTGGCCTGAAATTTGGTTTGGAAAAGTTCACTGGAGCCACATGGCTTAGTCAAGGTGTTCCAACAGAAACCCAGCCAATTTCTTCCAGTTACAGAGCCTACTCTGTTGCCCCCTCACCCCATGCCCCTTCCCTTCAGCAAGGATTTGTTCATCTTTTCCAGAAACACCTTCTAATTTTCATCCTCATTGTTCTTCTAAGAATCTAGGTAGCTTGGCAAACAGTCTCACTCCCTTGCAGCCCCTGAGTTTTCCAGCTCCTTGTAGCCTGGACTTGGGCAGTGGTGCAACACTTTTTTACCAGTCTTTTTCTGTTTCTTTTGGTCCCTCTGAAGACACTTTGCCTCACTATTCTTACTTGTTTTGCACAACCTTTCCCACCATCCTGTAGTGGGTATTTTCCATAGGTCAAGATGAGAGTTTGTGGCCCTGGCTTTGTCTCAGGTTCAGCCCCATGAGCAGTCTGTGTGCAGTTCCCCTAGAAGCGATCAGCTACTGGTCCACATGGAACGTTCAAGCCCATTTTAACCAGCACCAGCTTTCTTCATGAGCAGAGGGGACTTCTAGCAGCTCTAGAAATGCAGCTGAGGCAGCCCCAGCTCTCACACTGAGCTTGAGCCAGGGAGGACCTGCCTGAAATAGCAGAGCTGAGCTCTGTGTGGCCGTGGCCTTGGGCTGGATCTGCAAACAGCGCAGGACGGTTGGTAACGGCTGACGGGGTCTCCGTGTGTGATTGCCACATAACTCCACCTGCCTCAGCACTTGGTGCCAAGGAAACCAGCCACAAGGACACAGGGGATGGGGAAGTGGGATGGAAAGTAAACTGAAGCGCCGCTGGACCCAAGCTCCATGCAGAGCTGTCGAGTGCCACCAAGTTGTACCCTAACCGCAGCTCTCAGCTGCCATCACAGAGCACAGCTGTCCTGTGGGCTCTGACACCCAGATTTCTGCCTACAGGGCAGAAACATCATTAATAGGTTGAGCAAGCTCAGCTGCTGCTTTGGGGAAATGGGTGTCATCTGTCATAGAGAATCTAACTTCCTCTTCCTAGAAAAGTCATGATCATCAGGAAATCCAAGCTTTGTGTGATACTTTAGAAATTCTTTTCCAGGAAGATGTCAGAAGCAAATGAATTATCTGCCAACCACAGCTGTACAAGCTTTCCACAAGGAGTGGGTTTATTAAAATAATAAAATCTGACTAGATAATGTTTTCCCTGTGTTGCCCATGAAGCACAGAGATGCATCTTTATGTTTTCACAGAAGCCATGGGGGGAAGAATAGGCTTTGCCGGCCTCCTGGAATTCAGGCACAGCAATTAGTTCATGTGTGCATCTCTCTGTTCACACACAAAACTTTTGGCATGGCATGGATGGAAGTTTCAACTAGAGCCTTTGTGGTTAACAAAACCTCATTTGCTTCTATGGAAAACTAAGTCTCCAGGCAGAGCTATTAGTTTAATACAAGGTCATTAGATGTGTTTGGGTTGTTTTTCTCCTCCCTCCCCACTGGTTCCTTACTACAGAGGCTCTCTTTTACCAATTCATTTGGTTTGGGGTAGCTGGGACTAAGTGCCATGCCAAAATTTATGGGGTACAGTCCAGCCAGGCAATTCTTCATTCTCAGTGTGTTGTCTCCTGTCCATTACTTCAGCTCTTGGCAAGAATTTCTGAAGTGCAAACATTCCTTTAGGGGACTTGTTCACATAAGCTGCTGTACGTCACTGTTTATGGAAACCTTCAAGCAGCCCATGATGATCAGGTGGTCGTGTTTTCCCAAGACAAACAAGTGTGTTCAGACTTTGTCCTGTGGAATTTGAGGTTGTTTGTACTGTAATCACAGGTCCTGTCCGCTGGACGTTTCTGTCCTCACAGTAGGTTCTGGCCACTCCTAACTCCATCCCTAATTACAGCCTGACTACAGCTCTGCAGAGGAACTGAAGTCAAGCCTCCATGTTATCCTTTAGAACCCTCTTCTAGAATTTTTTGACCTTACATGAAAAGCTAGCAGCAGTGTTTGAAAATACCCAGGCTAACAAGGTAAACATCAGCATTCATTAAAGCACATCTGGGGTCATTCTATCCCCGACTGGTTTTGTCTGTGTTATCTCACGAGCCTGGCAGGCACACTCTCTTCCCATTCATCCCTGTTGGGACAAAGCAGCAACAAATCATTCAGTTGTGGGTCAGCAAGTGGAACACTTGCAATTACTGTACAGCACAGATGATACTTTACCTGGGACAGTGCTGAAAGCAGAGACTAGATCTTTAATTTAAATCCAAGTGCTTACACACTGACACCTCTAATTACATGGCATAAGCTTAGAGGTTTCTTCAAATATTAGACCTAGAATAAGAAGTAAATTCATAGCTAAATCCAGGCATTTTTAATGTCTGTTGCTTAGATCTTTAATTGCCTTTTGGGAATACTTTCTCTTTTCCAGAGAAAAGACATTACTGATTCCAAACAAAATGCTTTAGCCTTGTTCTTTAGGTTTGCACCGCTCTCCCCCGTTCAGGAAGCACAGTACTGGGGATACTTTGAGCAAGACCTTTCACAGCTGCTGCATTTCTGTGGCTTCACAAAAGCATGAGTCTCAGATCTCTTTGTCTGTGGCAGACTACATTTCAAGGCATCCCCTGTGCTGTAAAAGGTTCATTTCTGCTCTGTCTGGCAGGCAGGCAACAAGATGTTTGCAATACTTTAATTTCCCACAAGTTAACAGTGTTTGAATCTGTCCATCCCCATTTCCTTTTCAGTCTACACTTGTTAAACATCTATTTTGATTCCCTAGCTGCTGTTAACATTCCGCAGTCATTTAATCCCAAATGCTCACCTATGACTTCAGACTTCCTTATCTGTATCACCCCTTTTCCAAACAGCCTTGCAGCAGTTCACCCTGGTGTGGCTGGTGGAGGCTTGACTTGAGTTTTGTGAGTCTGACTTAACTAAGTTCCTCACATGTGCTAACCCAGAATAAGAATTTCACTAGAGAAGGCGACTACAAACTCACAATGCACTTCAGCAACAATCAATTTCAAGCAGATAACAGTAAGTAAACAGTTTCTAAACTATTGTTTGGTTTTGTTTTTCCAAAAAATTGTAGCTTTTCCTTTTTGTTTTTGTTCCCTCAAGCTCTTGGGCTTATCCTATAGAGAACATGACCCTCAGTCCTCATGTTTGAATACACAGAGCACTAGGATCAAGACCCCACTTTGTCTCAGCAGCCTCAGAGGCTTTCAAGGGCAGAAAGGCAGGCTAGATAAAGAGGGTTGACAGGTCCTCCCTGATGAGTGGCACTTAATAACTAGGCATAAATACACCTGCAGCTATTCAGGACCAAAAGAAGAGTTATCCCTCTCTAGCTAAGGTTGTGCCAGGCAGCAGGTAACTTCCACACTCTGCTACCCTTCGTCACAGCGTAGGGGTCTTTGGCAAAACAGGGAGTGCACTGCTAGCATACACAAGTCAAGAGTATGTAGGAGAAGGAAAAAGAGGGGCTCTGCTTTGCACTGAGCATTCATGAAGAAAAATGGTACAGAGAAAACAATCTAGAAGTGTTAGAAACCCCACTGGGAATTTAGGGGTCCTGAGCAGAAGAGTCTCTTTGATAGTATCAGCCTTAATGCGTGTCAAGGCCCATTCTAGCTCAGGGAACACCAGGTCACCTCTGACTTGCTGCCAGATAGTTCTCTTCACAACTTGGAAGCCTGAACAGCCACATCATGTGAGATAGAAGCCTCTTCCTCCTGTCCCCAAGCTGTACTATCATTAATTCTTGGCATTATCCCAATAAATCTGAGGAAGGTGGGAGGTGACATCCAGGTTGTTGAAGCTGTATCACTTCTACCAGCTGCCTTACCAGGGGAGACAATAAGCCTGCAGGTGAAGGATATTTCTGAGAGATCTGGGAGAATAAATAGATTTTTGCCAGTCAGCTTAATTGAGCCAAAAAAAGGGAAGCAGTACTAGAAGTTCCCTATTGCCCTGAACATCCAGAGTTCCTTGAACAGGAAGCCTGGGGGCAGGGCAGACCCCACCACCCTATGGATTCATGTGCCTTGAAGCCAAGGAAGTCTCCCGTTTCTGTTTTGAAGGGTTGCATGTGTCACTCATCTCCCTTCACTGAGTGAAAGTCAAGAGGAACTGTTCTCTTCTGCATTACTACACTCCTGTCGTGCTCACAGTCAGAAAAGTCTTTACTCATCCTTGTTTATTTATTAGAAAATCCCTACAGGTCTAGGCATTTAAAATGAAGCATTAGTTACATGGAATACGTGCCCTCAAAGTCCAGAAGTTGCTGGATATACTGCAAAGGTGGATTGGGGCCAGCAGTGACCCAGTGACCTCTGGAGGAAATGCTGGTATGGCTGTGAGATGCTAGCAAGGGCAGCAGCAATCATGATCCAACCTTCTCAACATAGTTAGCAGGATAGAGTCCAACTTGGCCAGTGAGAAGTCGGCCCTTGCACCAGCCCTGCTCATCTTCCTCACTAATCTTCATTAGTTCTTCACCTAAAAGCACAAACAGTCATTAGGAAGCAGCCTTAGGAAAGGTTTTCCCCACCTCAGAAGAGTTGATAAAAAGCAAGACCTATCGGTCTGCATCACCACACTCTTCTCCCCTTATCACACTCTGGACCCTACTGCACAGTTTAATCAAAGCCAGAGTTACAGACTTCTTCAGTAGCATGTTCAGAACCAAGGAGCTTGGAGACAAACCTTCAATTTTGCTGTTCACCATCAGAAATATTTTTGTGCCCTGTATTTCTGCCTGCTTTCCTCCCCGCAGAGGAACATGCTTACAAGCCAGAGGGATCAGAATGCTCTCAGAGATTTCTTTCTTAGTGGCTCCTCTGTAGCAGGTGGGAAGGAAATGTAAGAGGCTGCTAAGCTCTGGCTGTTAGGACCCAAAATGACTATTCCATGATGGAGCATCTGGTTTGGCCAGCAAGACATGGAATCAACTCATTTCTCAGACTATGACCAGGAAAGGCTTTTAACCTTCCCACATCTACTTTGGAAAAGGGTAGAAAGGTCCCATTCTCCACCAGTAGAAGCTCATATTTCTGCCAGAGAGGGAGGTCTGACTGCATCAATAAGCACATCCCACACTGGCAGAGGCTCAGAAAGTCATCTGCTGTTAAGCTGAAGCTGTACTGGTGCATGCTGGTCAGAGCAGATTCAAAATGGGGATGACTAAAGCTCACCAGTCATGCCTCATTCCATCTGCTGGGTGGAAAGACAGAGCAGAGAGTCAAGTTCTAGAGCACCCATATTGTCAGATACTTTAAAGCAACAAGTCAGGGTTAGGAAGTTTACTAGTCTGGTAACTCTGCAGCATAGGTATCACCTCCGGCACAAGCCCCTGCTGCCAAAGGACTTCAGTGCCTTTTTGAAAGGGGTGTATTTTGGAGAGGTATAGCACAGAGATGCCATGTAACACTCAAAACAAGCAAGATTAGAGACACTCTTAAGATCCAGATGTCCTCTTGGAGTTGGAGAAGATGGCACATGCAAACTAAATTTAACTGACGGAAGGAAAGGGGAAGGGTCTGTTTGCTCCAGTGTTCTCTCTCACATAATCCTCTGCTGGGAGCCAGGATCTCCACTCTCAAGCTTCCCTTTTGAGTAGTAATTTGCACAGCTGTTTTTTGCCAGTTGAACTGTGCCTTCAGTAGTGCACATCACTCAGCTGAGCTTTCTCCCAAAATACCTATCTTCTGGTTACTTCAAAGGACAATCCAGACTCTCTATATACTTTCTGTATCAATGGCACAAAGGAGAAGCATTGAATAAAGTCTCCAGATACAGCACAGGATAAATGCCTTAAGAGGAACCAGGAAGGATCTGTTTTACCCCCTACAGTCTCTTTTTATGTGGCCTCACTGTCTTTTAGTCTAGAACAGGTTGGACCACAGTTTTCAGGAGGACATCCAGTTCTTAAAAGAGTGTTTCAATCATTCAGTCAGCCCGAGTGGGGACAGCAAAAGGTTAGTAAGAGATTAGTGCTTCTGTACCTGCTTTAAAGCTCAGCTCATCAGCCTCCTGTCCTGTGTAATCATACAGCGCTCGTACCCGCACACCTGGTACCTTTATGTCCTCCTCGTGCCCGTTGGCATCCAGGCACTTCTTGGGAGTGTCCTCATCTGACCACTCCGAAATGTCTTCCTTCCCTCCGCTGTGTATGTGGAAGGAGAGAGGGGACAAGATGGTTGTTAGTAGCCTCATCTCTTGCCCACCTCCTCCTGAATCGCGTACCACCCTGACTCCCCCCAGGACTGCCATGCTGTAGAACAAGGTGCAAGAGGCCCAACAGCCAAGTGAGGGTGAACAGGGAGGAGAGATGCCAGGAGATGCTAGATTTGCTTGAAAGCATCCCAGCATTAGAGCCCTGAGGGCCAGGAGGGTAACTCATTCTCAAAAGTGTTTTCACTCACACACGCACAGACATACACACGCTCTTCATGACCTAGGTCATCCTACTCTAGCAGAACCTCTCACACAAGGAAGGCTGGTCCTAACTGGAGAGTCCAGCTGTGTCCAGAGTTATTCCAGCCAAGAATAAGACAGACAGGAAAAGCCATATCTCCCATCCCAAAGGAACACATCCAGAATGCTGTTTTCCAAGTCAGGAACAAGAACAGAGGGGAAGAGCAGCAGAGGACAGGCACCTGGAACCCCCAAACCCCTGAAGAGGCTATGTTCCATACTGACTTCACACGGGTGGGTGCCCTCAGGCTGTCATTGAGGCTGTTCTGCTCCTCTCGATAGGAAAACCTGTAGATTGGCAAATAGGGCCCCTGAATCCAATAGACTGTGAAAAACAGTAGTGGCCTTGAGTCATCTCTGTGTCCCCATTCTTTTCTGCCCTGTTCACTTAGGCCAGAGTTCCCCTTTTAAAGCAGGACGGCTACTGGAACTGCAGGACATGAGTCTCTTCAGCCTCTCCCTATTCTCCAGCTTGCTTCCAGGAAGGGAACCACTATACCCAGACTTGTCAGGTAGTACTGAGCACCATGCCAGTAAAAAACTGAATGACACCAGAAAAACCTGATGCCTGCATTTAGGAAACAGTACAGCTGACTGGCAAAGCTGCCAGTTCCCACCTCTCCTCACCCTGTCTGGGAGGATGAGGAACTGGGGGAAATGTGTGCCAGAATCTCACACAGCACCAGTCTGACCAGGTCAGATCTCATCATTAGAAGGATCTTTACAAGGAGGGCACTTTGTGAGGCAGTACTAGAGCAAAAAAGAAAAGAACAAAAGGAAAAAGCTACCCTAAACCCATTTTCTACCCTGTCATTTCCCAAATGGCAAGGGCAAGGCCATGGTCAACAGACCAGAAGTTAAGGAAGGGATCACTCCTCCCAATCCAACTCACTCACAACCCTAGGCAGGACTGTGCTTTTCCTAACCTGACATATCCCAGGCTTCAGCTCTTACCTTCGTTTTGTCTGCAGAGGGGTCTGTGAGACCACACCATCCCGTGCAGGCAAAATGCTGGTCAGCGTGACGTCGTCAGACATCTTGCCGCTCTTCTCCTTCTTGGTGATTGGCCTCTGTGTTTCCAGGGACCATTCCTGTTCAGGGAAAAGCAGTAACACCATCAAGCCACTCAGATACAAAAGCTCTGTGTGTCTTTTCTGACCAGTACAGAAGGACAGAACACCAGGTCATACTTCAGCTGGGCTGGGCTGGTCAGCCAAATGGCCTTGCTGGTGTAGCAGGCTCGCTCCTGTTGGATCCCAAGGTGCAGCAAGAGGGGCTTTGGGGAAAATTATAACAGGAACTTGTCCCAGGGCCCTGAGCACCAACTCCTGTTCTCTGACCTCACAGCTGGAGTATTTGCAGTTTGGCAGGACTGCACGTGTCCCTTTGGGCACCAGAGAGCTTGCAACACAACCAAAGTTTTAGCAAAGCCCAATATCCTGAGCCTGCTGAGCAAAGACATGGTCCTTCCAACACAAGGCTAGCAATCCACCCATTTCAGTAGAGCAGCTAATGTTTGGAAACAGTCATAATACACTCTAGAATGCTACATCACCTCAAACTGAGGCCAATTCATCGCCATGCCTGGTCCATGAGTGTTGCGCCACCACTTCAGATCCTCCTGGTTGTCTGCAGCCATGATTACTTGGTAGAGATCTCGATACAACGCTTGAAAGCTGTGGACCAGGAATAGACAGAACCATCAGTAACCAAGTCCCTCAGCAGTTCCCCAAAAGCCAAGTAGGAAGGAAGAGTGTAACCTCATGCACAATTACACAGCGTCCCACAGGATTAAGGATGCTCAGGGAGCACCTGTTCAGCCCTAGGAAAACAGAGCCACCCTTACAGGACAGTCAGCCTGGCAAACGGGACAGGCTTGTTTGGTGTGGCAGTGGCTAACATCTGCCAGCAGCTCAGCAAATCAGCTTTGAAAGAGCTTGACACATTCTTGCACACAGGCAGGGAGGTGGCTCAGATCTGCTGCCTCCACCTTAAAGTCGAGGAGCACAGAAGATTTTTGGCTGCATCCATTTCCCTGGTGTAACGCCTACTTCAGGGCAACTCGCGGGCTTACGGTTATCATCATCTCACACAAGGTCTCTCCTACTCAGGGCAGAATGGGTGTAACAGCTACAGGTACTAGAAGGCAACAGAGCCACATTCCTCAGACTGGGGTTACATATGAAGGCATTTCATAGAACAGAAACACACACACGGGACAGTAATGGAAGAGGAAGGGTTCAGAGGCAGAAAGAATCCTCTCTGAGGAGCCTGGGTCTTGTCCAAGATCAGACACACCAGCTCTGGTCAGTCTAAAGGGACCAAATCCCAGTTCTCAGACACACTTGGAGGGGGAAGGAGCGAGACCTGGCAGATGCAAGCAGGCAGTTCCCTTTCAGACCCCAGAAGTGGCACCCCTCACTAGAGCCCAGGGCACCCCAGGCTGGCAGACTTCCCTCCTGTGTCAGGGCTGGTACCTTTCACTGGTGGAGAGGTTGAGATGCTGGTGCAGATTCAGGAACATCTCCTTAAAGAAGCACAATCGCTTGCGCTCTGCTTCCTGACAGCCCTCAAACACTTGCTCCATGTCCTCCATGTAGCGGGGATTATTCAGCTCTTCCAACATCTTCTCATATTGATCCTTGCACTGTATCAACCCAGGAGGACAGCAGTGGTGAGCTGTGTTGCCTTGATGTCACACCAGTGACACCCCCCCCGCTCTGGCTTGGCACTGACAAGTGTTTTATTTCCCCTGCACTGCTGAACAGATACAGCACAGAAAGAAGAAATCCCACAGCTGGTATCCTAGTCCATTGATCTCCTAATATTCCCACAAGTTCCTTGTTCTTCCTTGCTACTCTCTTCCATAGAGGACTTTCCACACTTCCCTCTTGTGGGCAGGCAAACCAGCCACTTTTGGTAGCCAAGTCTTCAGCTCTGCAGCTCCCACCCCCTGCACCAAATCCCCTACTTTATTTTAGTTTTGTTTTCAAATTTACATATAAATTACATCTTACCCAACACCAAAGATCTACAGAACTTAGTCTTACTTGCTGAAGTCTCAGTCTAACTCCCTAAAACCTGAGACAATGGGATCTCACTCCTCCTTACGGGCTTCAGGAGGAGCCATTTCACTGAGTCACATCACAACTAGTGCTTTTTACTCGAGAGGATCATCCTTGTGACCCACATCCATACAACACACACTCACCTTCTCAGCCTCCTGAGTGCACTTCTCTACGCGCTCCTGCAACTTGCGCAGCTGTTCCTGTGAGACAGATGAGTCTGCCTTGGCATGGTTCTCCCTTGTATGGGCTGTTTTCTCCTCCTTCCGGGCTGCATGGTAGTTTTTCTTAGAAGTCTCCACCTGTAGCAGGAGGATGCAGAGAAAGCCATGATCCTGACCACACTGATCCTCCATTACTCGGAGAGGGCACGTTAACTTTTTGGTTACAGACAGATGCAGTTGTTTCAGGATAACCTAACAGGAGTGCCAATTTGGCATTTAGCAAATCATGCTCCAAAGGGAAGAAGTACCTCCAAATTATCTCTTCTTCAGTGCTCACCTGCTGTGCAGGAATATAAAGCCCATTACCAATGTCTTCCCACATGGGAAGGAGGCTACAAAACCACCAAGAGCAAGAGACCACGAAGACATCCCTCCCTCTCTGTTTTTCTGTCCAAACCCAGTTTGTTTGCCCAGTGGCTCTCGCAATCAGGCAGCCAGCTCGACTGCCCTCATCCCTCCTTCCCCATTCACACTTTGCTCACGTCTTTCATCTTCTTCACCCAGGGTTTCTGGGCCTTGCGGAACCCATCCTCTGCCTCCTTTGTCTCCTTGAAGCCTCCAATCATCTGCTTGTGATAGGCCTCCTTCTGCCAGGCCTTGATCTTATCCGAGTCTTCACCAGCCAGGTGGTTCCGGACAGCTAAGTGAATTTCACTCAGTTTATCTGCAGCTGTCAGGAAGGCATGCCAGGCCTTCTCCAGAGTACCATACTGTGGACCTGCAGGGAACAAGCACCAGAGGAGGAGCTCTTACACCTCCTGCCCACAGAAGGGAACGCAGATTCTTTTTCTCCTACACACATCTATCAGTATGGAGTCACTTTCATAACTCTCCCCATCACACACGTCAGCAGTGACTGGTCTCCACAAGTCCCTCCCGACAGGCAGCATCCAGGCTGGCTGTTACAGCTGGCTGAGACTGGTGTTGCTTTTGGGCAGCCTTAGCTGCCCCAGATGATGACTGCTAGGAGAAGGCTTCTGTAGAAAATTCCCTTCACAGATGTGGCCTGAGCTTGAGGACAGACAGCAACACTAGTTCATGACTGAGGCTAAGCTGCTGTTTCACAGACCAGTAGGTCCTTTGAGGCATCTGTCCCACTGTTTCCCGTTACTTTGTGAGACACTGCCACTAAATGCAGCCTTAGCTGCCCCAGATGATGACTGCTAGGAGAAGGCTTCTGTAGAAAATTCCCTTCACAGATGTGGCCTGAGCTTGAGGACAGACAGCAACACTAGTTCATGACTGAGGCTAAGCTGCTGTTTCACAGACCAGTAGGTCCTTTGAGGCATCTGTCCCACTGTTTCCCGTTACTTTGTGAGACACTGCCACTAAATCACAGCATTAGTAGTTATCCTCTGACTGGAGGAGAAGGAGGAGAGACAGCCAAGCCATCCTTAAAGAGGGGAGATAAATTTAAGACTTGAATTTCCCAAGGACTTGCCAACTAAATAGATAGATTTTTTTTTTGGTAACCAAACACCTGACAATGCAGAGAACACCTCTCCAAGTGAATCAGAGGACTGTCCACAAAAACACACACACAATTAAAAAAACCCAAAACACTCAAGAAAGTCACCCCCTTCCTGGAGAAGTCTGTCCCTCAAGGAAACAGCATCACCTTGGTAAGATACAGCACTGAAGGAAGAGAGTGCAATGATTGCATCCTGTTCCCAGCCCAGCCTGCCAACTTACCTTTCTCCACATTGGTCCTCCACTTACGGGACCACTCTGTTAGCTGCTGGGCATAGTTCTTCTCTATCTTGGCTCGCTCCTGGAAGCAGGAGATTAAGTCATTGCAGAGCCGGTATCCATCATCCACACGCTTCACTGTCCGCTTGTAGTTTCCAGCCTGAAATTTCACACAACATCATCATTTACACTGTACTGACTTCCAGGGTCCTTCAGAACAGACAGCAGCAGGTCAGTCATTGCATGGGGAGGGAGCACAGGCCCTTCTGAAGCCAGCAGCTGGGCTCAGACCCTCCTGTGGCACTCTCAGGTAGGCACAGCAGTGGAGAGAAGAAGCTGAGATGCTTTGCTTGCCTCTCTCACAGCTCAGATCAGTGTTAGCTGAACAAGGAACTCTCATTCCACAGCATCTGTGGAGGAAAGGGTCACCTCCTCCCTGCAGTAACACACAGCGTGTTACTGAACCTCCACACAATTCCTCCCTTCCACTCCCCAAGAGCAACATGTCACCCAGCAATCTGAAACTCAACCTCCTAATCCCACAGGTGGGAGGTAAGAAGACATGCCTACCTCCCTCACACTCTGATTATCCTTCCTTACCTCCCAGAAACTGCCCCCGGGAGCCTCCCCGCCAGCATCATCTTCTGATGACATCACCCTCTTTTTCTTGCAGCAGAGAATTTTTGCAGATTTCAGTTAAGCTGGGGGAAAAAAAAAAAAGAAAGAAAAAGAGAGAAAAGTGATTTCTGATTCTGACATAGCACCAGCACCTCCTCCTGGAGCTGGAGGAGCCCAACTGCAGGTAAGTAGGGGCACCACTGCACCTCCAGCAGCCAATGGCTAGATCTAGTGGAGATGCCCAGGACTGAACCTGCCTCCTCCCTCCCTGCAGACAGAAGCCTCCTTGGCAGGTCTGTAGCACACTGGGAAAGGATGTTGTAGAAGACAATCTTGGGAAACCTCAGCTGTACAGATACTGGAGATGCTAGTGAATCCTACATCCTTCAGAAGCACCTGACATCTCTGCAGAGATTCCTTTCTTAACCAAGGTGCTCAAGAGGACAGGAAAAGCTACAGAAACTGAGGTAACTAAAGCTGTTTGAAATCTGCCTTGAAAGACTTTAAATAAGTCTTCGGTCAATGGAGATGACTCCAGTTTCCCAGTATGACTCAGGATTACGGGATTACAACAACTGACTGGAGAAAACAAGGCTGAGCAGTCAGCAGGCAGGCATGTTTTGAATGGGGAGGAGCCCTATAAGCTGCCCACCAGCTGAGCTGGGCTTGAGCAGAACTACAGGAACATGTTGGGGCATACCCAGCCACACACACCGGTTACCCAGCAGCACTGCTTCCCTAAAAACATCCCTGTAGAGCTGCTGTGTTCATTACACTCAACTCTCACTGCATTAGGCTCAAAATCTAGGCTAGAAGGTAAAAGGTTCATCTCATCCTCCACTGTCTCAGAACTTATGACCATTCCCCTGTGCTAGTCTGTGCTGCCAGTTTGTCTCTGACATGGTGTAACACTATGAATTTCTTGGGGAGAGGTTCAGGGTTGCTCTGGCACAGGAATGAGAGATGGAGTAACAGAAAAAGGCCCCAGCCCAGTCACTCACACACAAACCCACTCCATTCTAGGCTTACCTGGGTTAATGCAGCATAGATGTCCTCTGCTGCCACTTCTCCTCTTGCACATTCCTGGTTATAAAAAGCTTCCCTCACACCCCAGAGAGGTATCTGCTCATTCTGTCAGCCCACAGAGCACACAGCACAGATGAAGAAGATCAGGTCAAGAGTCCACATCTCCCACCTCCTGCAAATCTTTCTCAGTGGTATGAGGCACACCATGAAGCAGCCCAACACAGACTGCAGGAATTTCCAACATTTCTTCTGGAAACAGAGTTTGGCTCTGTTTGCCCAGTCTCATCCCATGGAAAATGTCATGAGTACATTAATGTTGTTCCTCTGGGTTTCTCCAGAAGGCTGAAAGCGCTGAATCCCAGTCACAGAAGCAAGTTGTTAAATGGGATGCAACACTCAGGTACATGAACCTTGAAACCTGAAGAAGACCTCCACCCACCCACGCCACCAGCTATCCCTGTCCTCCCTCCCCACCATTCTTCAGCAGGCTGCAAAGCTATCTTACGTGCCTCCAGGGCATGCAACTCTACTCTTGTCCCCAGTAACTACATACCTGAAAGCTGAAAGTGAGATGCCACAGGGGAGCAGTGGGCAGCTGGCAAGTACCTCCAGACCTCTTCAAACTCGGTGAAAAAGACTAGAGGAGACAGAGATGGGCAGGGTTAGACAACGCCGCTCCTTCGCGGGGATGCTGCCTGTTCCGATGCATCGCAATCCTACGGGCGTCCCCCCTTCTGCCAGCTACTAGGAGGGGCACCCTCTGATATAGCAGCTGCAGCCACTGTGCCTCCTGAGATGCCACGTTCCAGCACGTAGGAGAGATGCCAAATCCTTGTGTCACAAGATCCAGCCCCAGAGAGAGAGAGAGAGTTAAAATAGAAACATTGGGGCGGCATGACAGCACTGTGCGGGAAAGGGAGCATCACAACAGCTGAGCAAAGGGAACAGCACGGGCCAGAAAGGTCTAAAATAAACAGGTTCCCCAGGCACCGCACGTGGGGCCTGGTCCCCCCTCGCTGGGCAGTGTCTGGTTTAGCAAACCCCAGTGAGGGAAAAGTGCTGCCCTCGCTCTCACACAGAGCTGGCTTCGGGAGAAAAAGGGAAGGACGCACACATACGCTTTCTCCAGTCTCTTTTTACTAAAGATTCAGAGGATTTATATACAAAGGACTTGATAACTAATAAACAAACCCAAAACTTCCAAGAACGGATACCTTGGTTTAGAGGCCTGCACTCCTTTGAGTAGCAGAGCACCTAGCACTGCCCTGGTAGGATGTGGCTCTACCAACAGAACTTTTTTGACCTTTAGTTGTGTAAGCTGTCCCCAGAAATACTTTATTTTGCATTATGGTAGGTAACTGTCATCAACTCTCCACAGAGGAAAGGGAAGTAAAAGGCCTGCAGAGGCTAAGGGAAGTGAGGGCAGAAAGAGGCATTTTTGTTTACCTCACATTCACTTCCCTGAAGATTTACTTCAATGTCAAAAGTCTATTTATTTAAAAAACAGAGAAGCAAAAAACCTTCTGTTCAGTCATCAATATCCACTCTGCTGAGGCTGGAAGGTTAAGGCAACTTAGAGTTCATACAGCTGAGAGGAGAAACTGCAAAACCTGGGAGAAAAGGGGGTTTTTAGCCAGACATTAAGACAATTTGGGAGAAGGAGTGAAAGAAGATAAGAAAAGAGGAGGAAGGAAAGAAAAGCAGACTGGGGACCTTTGGTGAGGAAGGGGTGGGGGTAGGAGCTGGGATAGTTTTGCATGATCCAGGTCACTGGTTAAAATTTTATAGCTCATCATAAACCTTCTAAGACTTGCCAGTAGTCTCCAGTTAAACCAGACTACACATTCCTGAAATTGCCAAGATTTAAAAAAACCTTCATGAACAGTTACATAAAAGTATACTTAAATCTGTCCAAGACCCTTCCTCTCTTTCTCCTGATGAAGACCTAGATCAATTAGATATGACACATAAAGGCTGTATCACTTTTTCCATCCCACACCCCCATCCCCACTTTATCAGGGAGCAATGAATCACAAACATGCCTTCCATCTCTGGTTTCCAATTCAGACTGACTGCACAGTGCTAGAATTTGGGGGTAAGTGTGTGTCAGAGTGTGCTTGTTGGAGCGTTGTCTGAGGGGCAGTCAAGCAAAAAAACCAAAAAACCCTCAATCCTGAATCCATTCTTTCTGCACTTTCCACATTAGAATTTTGTCAGCATACCTACTCATTTTGTCAGCAGTTACAAACCCAAATAACTGGATTTACTATCACCAAGATCAACAGGCTCTGAAACGTAATAGTAGCTGTGCTGGATCAGACTAAGGGTTCTCCTATCCTCAGAGCCTCTGTAGACAGCAGCCAAAACCAGATGGAATCACAGAATGGTTTGGGTTGGAAGGGATCTTAAAGCTCATCCAGTTCCAACCCCCCTGCCATCAGCAGGGACACCTTCCACTAGACCAGGTTGCTCAAAGCCTCATCCAGCCTGGCCTTCAACACTTCCAGGGAGGAGCAGCCACACCTTCTCTGGGCAACCTGGGCCAGTGTCTCACCACCCTCAGAGGAAAGAATTTCCTCCTCAGATCTCATCTCAGTCTCCCCTCTTCCAGTTTCAAGCCATCACCCCTTGTTCTGTCACTCCCTGCCCTTGTAAAAAGTCCCTCCCCAGCTTTCCTGTAGGTCCCCTTCAGGTACTGGAAGGCCACTATAAGGTCTCGATACTTCCCCTTGCTTTGAGAAGAGAGCAAGCATACCTGATGGCTCCCTGCATGCTCTACAAGCCTCTAACCATTTGTTGACAGGAACTTCCTGAGCTGGATGTGGCACCTATGAATTTAATAACACTCAGTGGATTTCTCTTCCATTAATCTCTCCAATCTTCTTTTGAACCCACAGGAGTTTTCAGCATCCACAATATCACGTGGCAAAGTATCCCACAGCTTAAGGCTATTCTGTAGCCATCAGCACAGTACCTAGGTGGGAGAAATCAATGAAGTAGTACAATATTTCTCCATGACCTGAGTAGCAGCCAGTCGACTACGTATTTCCATAGCAGTTATATAGATTTTTATAAAAGTCCAGAAAAATCTAGCTTGATAGAAGCAAAAAGGTCAAAGAACAAGGAGGACTTTTTTCTGCCAGGCTTTTTCTGGACTTTACATACTTCATGAGCCCATGTCAGTCAGCAGATCAAATTGGATCTGCATGCAGACATAGGGAAGGGACTTAGTTCTGCACAGAGGCGCTGAAGAACAGCTGCTGCTGTCACCCTGAGCCCTAGAAGAGCAAATAGATTGCCACTCCACCCCCTCATGCCTGGTTATTCCCAAAACACCACGTGCATTGTGAGCCACCAAGAGCTTGAGACTAGAGAAAACCCGAGTTTGCCTGGAAAAGCAAATATGAGTTACACATGCCAAAGCCTGGTGGTTGTTTTACAGCAAAGTAGAGATGACAGGGCTACCCTGTGGACAGCCTGATAGAGCAAGAACCACCACATGATTCAGGAGGGCTGGCAGAGCCTGTAGAGATGAGCAACACAGCTGGAGTTATACTGGGTCAGCACCACAGACAAGACTGATGGCACTGCCACCTCTGCTAGGAGGAGGCTACCTCGCAAATCGTATTTGCAGGGCACAGGAATGTTGATCCCCACCTTCCCACCTTCCTCTTTCAGCTATGGCGGTTAAGAGCTCCTCGAGACCTCACTGCAGCTCCTGCAAGACAAGCTCTCTGAAGAAGGAGGGAGAGAGTGACTCCATTTACTTCACACCTCTGCAGGATTATGGACAAGGGCATCACAGACCACTAGTGTGCAGCCAGCAATGTCAGGTACACAAACTGAACCATGCTAATGAGACTTCTGAGCTACAACCCTTTCTGCTAGTAGTGTTAAAAAGGAACTCCCCTCCTTCCCCCAAATACCTCCTCTCACTTAGGACCAATGTAATTATTAGGCCACACCTGGTATCAACTCCCTATTAAGTTATCAAAAAATGTCATTTGGACTTTAGCTGCAGAAAGGTAGAATGGCTCAGGAGTGCCTCACT